CATTTTATGTAAGCCGCCCTGAGTCCCCTCAGGGAAAAGGGCGGCCTATAAGTATTAATAAATACTCAAATACTCAAATTGAATATCTTAACAGGTCAGCCCTCTGGCTTCTGAATTTCAGCAGACATTTCTTATCCATAGTGTTACTGTAGCCACAATGCTTCAAGAATATGATTGATTAGGTTAGGTTTAAATGTGTTTGCGGGACTGCCATTAAGAGTTTTATGGGATGAGTGCAGGTGATTTCAATTGTTAGTCAATAAGGACTTGGAGTACTCAAGATGGGTGCATCTGCATTTCTGTGTCCATTTAGGCCTTCTTTTCTCAGCAAGGTGGCCTGGGTGAGCTTAACACTTGCTTACAAGCTTTGAAAGCAATGAGTGATAAAATAACCAAAGTGGAAAAGGAGTCCAAAATAAAGCTGCCAATTGCCGAATATGAGCAAAAGAAAAAAGAACTTCAAAAATGCGCAGCAACCATTTACAACGAGCTGGTATCTAGGACTGGCGATGACCATTCACCTGAGAAAGGGTGGGTATTTTCAATAATGAGGGTAGAAACTGTGGCACAGGGGCACTTATAGTTGGTTTAGCATCAAATAAAATAGCTTTTGTGGGAGATTCTTAACTATTTCGCACCTTTGACTGTCCCTCATTTCATGGCTGGAATAATGGATTTCATTATGCTGTGAATTAAAACCAGACATTTTGCAAAAAGTTAGGGTGGTAGTGGTAAGCTATTTTGAAGAAGAAGCTTATAACTCACCATTATGTGCAAATTGGTCCTGAAATTAAAGTACTTTTTCTGAAAGGGGGACATGGGTGGGGAGATGGTACAAGGGGGCAACAAATGACTAAGAATAGCATTGGAGTGATTTTATGTCACAACTCCAACCATTTTTTACATGCATTGCAGTATCACACATGCCTCAAAAGTACTTATAGCAAAATGTTGTAATGTTGTTTTCATCATTGCAATGAAAATAGCAAGTCCCCGCAGATGCTACTGTTTGTGACATATGAATAGAACATGTCGAATTTTAATTCCAAGGAAGAGCCTGGAGTGGAGATGAGAGGGAGAGAAGACAAGAAATGAAGTTTGGGAAACTTTGAATTATTCTCAGTAACATTAAGTAGAATTGGGGTGGTGCTTTTCTTTTTTGCAGTGTTAAGATGTATTTTTCATTGCTTTGCTCTGATGTTATTTCATTTTAAAATTCAGAGAGTTTACACCTGTGTTAGTCAATGAAGAGAGGGTATCATCTCAGAATCCTGAAGCTGAAAAGGTAAGACTCACATTTTAATGTTCATGTAGATCAGCCTTCCTTAATCCAAAACTGAGTTTGGGGAGTTGAAGACTGATGTATATAGATAAAGGTCTCTAGATCAATGCCTATTTGTTATTATGTGACAACCTGAAAAATAGTCTTGCACAGAGCCATATATTAGAAACCTGAAATTCATAAGATGATGTAGAATTTGCCATTCTTTGCACAAGAATTTTCTCCTTTGGTGATTATAAAGACTGTTTAGCATAGCATAACATTCATGCTATTAATTCATTAATACCTTTTGATACCAAGGCTTTTCATACAAATTGTTATCCTATAATAAGCTGCTGCCCTGCATCCTTCTCAGATACAAGCAATCAGTTGCATTGCTTCTACATCATCACCTACTGATTTTTACCTTGAGTTCTAATTCCTTTCTGGGTTTCCAGAATGGAACTGGTTAAGCCATTCTTCCTCAACCTTAGCCGCTTGAAGCCCACACATCTTCAAGTTGCCAAGGTTGAGAAATACTGGGCTTAGTAGTTGCAGGTCTCTTCTGGCTGAAAGAGCCAGAATTACCACACAATAAATCCATGAAAGTAATTTTCCTTGTAGCTTTATAACCTCCAGTCTTTTTAAGCGAAGTCTTTAATTTTGGGGGTGAGATTTCTTTTATATGGAAAATTAAAAAAGGTCTTGTTCCATTGAATCTACATAATTATTTTTATGATATTACATATTACAATTATTTAACTTTTTTGGTTATATTTTTAGGATTCAGAAGATGTTTCTTGTATACATTTGGAACCAGAAAAGGAGTTTCAAAACGGCAGACACCAGGCAGAAAAGTTGGAAAGTGATAGAGACTTGGCTTTAAAAAAATTAAAAGAAAGGTATATTTCAGTGTAAAATATTGAATGACAAGAAATAGGTATTTACCAGAAGTAATGAATTTGCAAACCTCTGAATCTTCAAACTAGTTTACCCTCTTTTAATATGTCAGATCCCAGTCCCAGAATTATTATAAAGAGTAACATAAAATGCATTTTCCTCATTTTTGTACTTTGGACTAGTCTGAATAATTATTTTAGATTTCGTAATCATTTGGTCTTGAAATAGCACTAGCACTTAGACTTATATATTGCTTCACAGTGCTTCACAGCCCTCTCTAAGTGGTTTACAGAGTCAGCATCTTGCCTCCAACAATCTGGGTCCTCATTTTACTGACCTTGGAAGGCTGAGTCAACCTTGAGCCTGGTGAGATTCGATCTGCCAAACTGCTGGCAGCCAGTGATCAGCAGAAGTAGCCTGCAGTACTGTACTTTAACCACTGCATCACTGCGGCTCTAATAGCCTAGGGCTGTTCCAATTGAGTGAAATCCCTTGCTTTGTCTCCTTTTAGGAAACCTCCAGTGTTCCTTCCTTAGCCTCAGAAATCAGATCTCTCCTGGATGGATTTGCTTACTTGCATGTTGAACATTTAACTTAAGAACTTGCTTCTTTTTTGTGCATAGTTTTTATGGCCTTTGGTACCCGAAAATAAACTTAAACCTAAAAAAAAAAAACCCATTCATTTAGGATATGCAAGGAAGAAGATTATTATATAAATCAAGATGGCTGATAAAAGAAATGAGAAAGTAAAGCAATAGGAAACAAACAGTTGAATTGTTTCATGGAGATGAGGAGGAGAAGGCAGCATTAGAAGAAACCGGGATCTTGTTTTCATGTCCAACTTTGCATAATATTACTTATAATATCATGCTTTCTCTTAGCTATGACACAGCAAGACATAATCTGAAACTCCACCTAAAGAGCATCAGGGAGACGATAACTCCCTCTTTAACTGATGATGTGAGAAACATTTCTTCCCTTCAGAAGAAATTGCAAACACTGGAAGTAAGTGTTCAGATGCTTTCCTTGTTTGTTTATTAGGTCAGGGTTCCTCAGACATTTAGCAAAAGTGTCTATGTTTGGAATTTTGAGATAATATAATGGACATGTTCATAAAATGGTTATTAGGTCAGGTGGAGCCAGTTACAAAATACCTGTAAACCACAGGACAAACCACAGCTTCTGATACAACTATACCATTTGAGTTTCTGACAATGACTTAGGGCAAGGGTGGTATACACTTACCTTCCCTACCAGTTCACAAATGTGAGCGTGCGCATGCACTTTTGGCGAAAAAAAGGCCTAAATGGGATGCCATAGAGCTGGGCGTGGGTGTGCCGAACCACCCACGATTTCTGCTACCGGTTTGGGTGATCTGATCCAAACTGGTAGAATACCACTTCTGATCTAGGGGCCACAGAGAGAGCCAGTAGCAATGTTAATATAAGATTCTGCTTGAGGCTGATGTTTTGGTTTATATCCTGTTAACTTCATACTAATTTTTTTTTTAAAAAAGTTAAAAAATTAAATTGGTAAGGCAGAAGCTTGGCTGATGCCAAAGAATGTCACAATGCAATTCATTTGGCAGTAAAAAAACAAATGGATTCTAACCGATCACCCATGGAACAGCTTGCAAAAGAATCATACTGCAGGACATGCTACATAAAACTTCTGGTTATGAAAGTAAAGATTATATTTTGCCATCCTTAACTGCTCCTTGGAATCTAGCAGTGGCTAACACAAGAGTTTGAATAATATATTATATAGGGCTATCTTTTCCACTTTAACAGGGTTAGCATTGGTAATTACTGATCATTCATTAGGTTCCTGTGCAGACAAATTGATGAATTATTTTAACAATTAAATTAATTATTAATTTAAATTGTTTAAATGTATTAATATTCTAATTGGAATGTATTATAATCAATAGATGAACTGGTTGTGCTTTGTCTCAGTTAACACACTATGGTAAACTGTGGAAAAAGGCATAGTTGAACATTATTTCTGTTTTTGTGTTTATAAATTTGACAATGTTACTTAAAAAATTATACACCACTAATATTTTGTTTCAGGCTTTAGATAGTAAAGGTGATTCTTCCTGGAAACCTTTTGATTCTGTGGCTTCACAGTTAGTGAAGTTCTCATGTGAGATGGACTTGGAGGATTTGCACAAAGAATGGGATGAGCTGCAGTTTGCTTTAGATAAAAGGTACAGTTGGCAAATTAAAATTTGAAGAAGCAGTGGGCTAATTGACTGGACATAAGGGAAGCACACATAGATTTTGTCTTCAAGAAAATCAGTGATGCCCTGTTCTGAACTAATCTGACTTATCAGATGGTGTGAGAGATGGAGAAAGTTAGTTCAGCTTGCAGATTGCCTCTTAAGTATTCAGCTGTTCATGTGAAGAGGGGATGGCTTGTACTCCTTATGGACTGAGACCACAGAAAGCGAGAAGAAGTTATAATGTGCAATCTGGATTGATTTCTAGGAAGGTCTCAATTTTTTTAAAAAAAAGTCATACTCATCTAGCCTTGAAAGGGAACAACAAAGATTCCTCAAAAATGAAGATAATAAAAATGTGCTCAGGTTGCCCCATCATTATGAACTTCTAAAGGAAGTCGTAGTAACTGATATCAAACATTATATCTAATTAGATTTGTCAAGCATAACACATCCATGTGGATAGCCAGTTCTTTGAACAACTTCTGCAGGCAATGAAAGTGATCTTGGGAAGTTTTGCTCTTTTTTTAGACTTTTTCGTTATGCTCACGTGGACTAGATATTTTAAACAAAATGGTGAGTTGGGGTGTTGATTATCTTACTCCTGTTAGTCAAAATTTTACAAAGCCTGGCTGATCCTCCAAAGCTAAGACCTATTAACTTTGATGAAAAAGAAATCCTTGGGTGTATACTACATTCTATGTTAATTGAGTTGTGTCAAGAACTACTCTCTCTTTATATATTGTACAACATGTGGAGACATTTCCTTAAGCAATGTTCATTTTGTACTTGCTGTCCTACAGGATGGAATCTTTAAAGGCTGCTTTGGCCCTTGTTACGCCAATTGAAAATGAATGGGTCTTACTCTGCAAATCAGAAGAACAGCTTTGTAAAAGAGACATTCCACGTTATGTGATGAGTAAAACTGATCTTCTGTACAAGAAAGTGAAGGTTTGTACTGATTATGTTGAAATTTTCTTGTGAATTCGAAGCACACCTATTCGTCTTCAATAGGTTAGCACCAGATTCTTCTAGAGCATTATCTTTAGTCACAGAAATCCTAAGTGCAAAATTGCAAAAAGAAATTTTCAGAAAAGAACTTGGAAGCAGGACTGCTGAAGCCTCTTTTCTCAGTTCAATTTCCCAATCTCAGCCATTTTTCTCTAAGGGAAAGTAGTAGAAAGGTTCTGAATCTTTCTTACTTTGTATTATACTATAATGTTTATCATGGCCAAAAGACCCAAAGACTTCTTTAAGTGCTTTCCTTCAAATCTGTTTATTCCCCTAGAAGAATAAATGGGTCTGCTCATCATTTTTCATCTATAAAAGTAGATATGATGCTTAGAAATATAAGAAACTAGAGTACTTTATCAGGTTGACCTGTTGGTCCATCAACATTGACCAGTAATAGCTTTTTAGACTATTAGGAAGGAGTTTTTCCAGCCTTCCGTAGAGAAGTCAGGTTTTCAACCTGTGCCTTTCTGAATAAAAGTATGCAGCCTAACATTTTTCTATAGAGCCACCTCTCATTTCTCAAATTTAGCATTGTAGTTAATAGTATGCATAAAATATAGTTTCCCAATCCTATCATTCTTTCTTTCAGAAAATTCAGGCATCTATATCAAATTGTATTGAACAATGCAACAGCCAAGAACAAAAAAGCCCTGTAGGATGGACAATTGACCAAAGAGATCGGCAGGCCATTGGTTTAATGATGAGCGAGTATAAAATACGGTTAGAAAAACTGAGTCAAAAGATACAAGCCATTGAAACAGTTTTACAAGATTTTGAAAGTTTTCTGGCTTCCCTGAGATATAGTCAATGTTCTATGGATGCTTCTACATCGCTGAGCTGGTCTCCACAGTCAATGGAGGAGGTTTCTCACATGGAGAAAGAGGCCAAATCTCTAGATGAGAAATTTAAGCAGCTTCATATCTATTTGGTAGAGGCTGAAAGCGGTAAAAAGATGAGCTGTGAAGAGCTGGTAGCAGATTTACTTGTAAAAGAATGCCCCTCTATTGGTTCTGAAGCAACTCAGAATCAAAAGACTGAAGAATTTTCCTCGAGGAATAATGAGCTACTTAAAAATCTTCAAGATATATATGATTCAATCAGTGGGATAGGCTTGAGGGACCCAACAATTCCTGCTATTTCACAAAGGTAAAAAAAACTTTTTTTCACTAATTCTTAGATCTTATGGTTGAGAATTTTGGAAGTTGAAGCCCTTCTTCAAACTAGAAGCATTTAAAAATAATATAATGATAAAATACAACACAATAAATCTGAAAGGTTTATTTTTCAGGAGGCACTTGACTTTCTTGCTTTTCCTTGAAGATGTCACACTTCTCATCCAAGAAGCTTCTTCAGCTCTAACAAGGAATTCCAGTTGCCTCCTGAAAAAGCACTTTTGGGACAACCATTACCTGGATGACTGAGAATTTCCATAGACATAATAAATCAAAGTATTTTAAAATAAAGAATATCAGAATAGTCACAGTGAAATTATAAGGTATCAGTCTGTTTTTTACTCCTGATAATATAGGTTGAAGTTGCTTGATGAACTGTGGAAGAAGTTGGATCGCTGTGCTCCAGAAATGAAAGCCTTGAATGAGATTAGTCAATTTTCCCAGTTGCCAAAAGCCCAGGAGAATGAAGTCAGTCAGCAGTGGGGATTTACCCAGGGCCTATGGAAGAAGACTAAACTTGCCATTACTGAAAAGTAGGTCACAATTCTATATGTATATGTGCATCCAAGGAAGTCCTACTGGAATTCAATAAAACTTACTTCTCAATAGAGCTGTACCAGAGGTGATATTCAGCAGGTTCTGACCAGTTGTGGAGAGCCAGTAGTAGAAATTTTGAGACTCGGCAAATATCACCTCTGACTGGTCCCGCTTCCATCTATTCTCTGCCTCCTGAGCCCCAGCTGATCGGGAGGAAATGGCTATTTTGCAGTATCCTTCCCCTGGAGTGTGGAGAGAATGGAGATTTTATAGTATCCTTCTCCTGCCACACCCACCAAGCTACGCCCACAGACCCGGAAGTGAAATATTTTGAATCCCACCACTGGACTGTACTATATATACAGTTTATGGTATTCTGCTATATTTCATGCAGCTATAGACTGCGATTTACCCATCTTCACACATTGCAATAAATTAGAGATAAATGATCACTCATGCTGGACTCATAAATGATCACTCATAACTTCCTTTTGATATCTTCTTTAATTGGAAGTTAAAGAACTCATGAAAAAATTGTTTATGTTTATCAAAATTATTAAGTCTGTCAAACAAGTCAGTTATTGGAAGCCAAGAGCAAAATACATTTTCTGCCTGTGGTTGTGGGAAAAATCAATTTGGAACTTTTGGTTTGTTGTTGTTAGTTGTGAAGTTGTGTCCAACCCATCGTGACCCCATGGACAACGTTCTTCCAGGCCTTCCTGTCCTCTACCATCCTCTGGAGTTCATTTAAGTTCATGCATATGCTTCAGTGACTCCATCCAGCCACCTCATTCTCTATCGTTCCCTTCTTCTTTTGCCTTCAATCTTTCCCAGCATTAGGCTTTTCTCCAGTGAGTCCTTTCTTCTCATTAGGTGGCCAAAGTATTTGAACTTCATCTTCAGGATCTGGCCTTCTAAAGAGCAGTCAGGGTTGATCTCCTCTAGGACTGACCGGTATGATCACCTTGCAGTCCAAGGGACTCGCAGGAGTCTTCTCCAGCACCATAGTTCAAAGGCCTCAATATGTGCTCAGCCTTTCTTATGGTCCAATTTTCACAGCCATACATTGCAACTGGGAAAACCATAGCCGTAACTATTTGTACTTTTGTTGGCAGGGTGATGTCTCTTCTTTTGGTTTTAACTTTTTTATTTGTTTTTATTTATCTGCTTTTGGTTTTAACCAAAATTTTAACTTTTGGTTAAAATACTATAAAAAGAAAAATGTGCCTAGAAATTGCAAAAAAAGAAAATTTATTTGGAAGAAAAATGTATACACAAGCAATATATTTAGCAAGTGAGTTGACTTGTTCATAGAAAGCCAGAATTCTCATGAATCCTGGCTGGGTCAGTTCTCTTACTTGGAAATAAGATTTCAACTTTCAAATATTACAACTTTTGTGTGTGTTCATTTAACAACTGCCTTGCATAATGACCAAGTTGTTAGTCCCAATTGTGGGAGACATAGATACTTTTAGTCTCTTTTTCTCTTTACATGATCAATTATCTTCATAATAAATAGATGCCAATTATAGGCATCTATCATAACTAGAACACCAGCTTAGGAGTGGGCGATGCAAAACTGGAAATAAGTTAAACTCCTCTCCTTATGTAGTATGATTCTAATTTTAATTTTCCTCTAAGATGGTATATGAAACTATGAAAGAATATTCCTGCATTTAATCCCTAGTTTACTCCTAAAGGCTACTAATTCTCTTCCTCCTTTTTGTAAAAGCTTAGTTACTTTGAAATTGAATGGGCACACTGGATTCGTTGACGTGTTCATAATCATTCAAAAATAAGGTTCTCTAATTTTAGGCAGATGTGTAAATGTCTTCAATTTTCTTTTGGCTTTGTTCCCTTCTATAGGCGTGACTACTGTAAAAGCACAATGGATCTCTTGAAGCAATATCAAAGCTGCAAAACCTATTTGACTAGCATTATTCTGAAGCAAGAGAATGCCCTATCACAGCAAGCCTCTTACATGGGAAAAGAAAACCTGCAGAAGATAATTGCTAAGGTGAAGTTTTAGGGAATTTTTGTACCGAGGAAACCACTTTCTCTGGTTCTTTGCAAATGAACAACACCCTGTAGCATTCAGTGGTGGATACGGGGCACAGTGCATTGACAACTGGGAGGCTTTCATTTTAAACAAACACCTAGCAATTATTCATAAGTATTTTTCCTCCTTTGCTGCTGATCACTGCATTAAAAGACAGCTGTAATGTTTTAAATATATCATCAGTTATATACTGCTTAGGTACAGTATATCATCAGTTGACACAAAGGTCTAATCCAGGGGTGTCAAACACAAGGTTTTTGGGCCACATCTGGCCCATGGGGAGTTTAGATGGGGTGTAGGGCTTCCCTGGAAACAGCGAATGACTAGCCTGCAATGCCTCTGCCATTGAAAATAAAGCTTGCAAAGGCCATGTGTGGCCCTCCCGACCACCGTTTGCACTGACAGAGGGCTGCAACCAAACCAACCAAAAATGGAGCTTGCAAGGGCCATTTTATGCCCCACAAGCTCTATTTTGCTAGCAGAGGGTTGCAGGAGGCTGCCCCAGCTGAAAATGGAGCTCATGAGCCCATTTTAGCTGGCAGAGTGCTTGGGCCACCACAGGCTCCCCCGACACGAGTGAGGTCAAACTGGCTATGCCCACCCTAGCCTCGCCCACCCCAGCCCCTGAGGTCAAATGCAGCCCTGATGTGGTCCTCAATGAAATCGAGTTTGACCCCCCGTCTAATCCCTAGTCATGAAATCCTATAAAGCCCTCAGTTCAGAGTATTATCCTCAATTTGAACAGCCAGTGTCTGGCTCAAGAACACTATGTTTTATGGGCAGAAACGGTGTCTTATTTTTTGGTTTGTTGCTGCCTATCCAGTACAGCTAGTAACTTACAGATTCATAGTGAACAAAGATAAAATCCTAATAATCCTACTCTAGGAGTGTGTACAGCATGTTCTAATGAAATGGGAATTATGAATCTGGGTAGATTATAGTCCAGAGATGCATTGCTTGGTGCCCTTTGGCTAATACCTATTAAGCACCAATTGCATTCCTCCCAGCCTGCCACAGATACAATCTGAAAACAAATTATCTCTGCTATGGAACACAGTCATCTTAGCAGAGATTCATTGGAGAAGCCCCACCTGTGTACCGTGTTGCCATCAACACTCCAAGGGGAGATAGGATACAAGGCTCCCAAGCCAACAAACTTTGGGCTTCTTCCAGGCTTCCTCCTTCAAGTGTTGAGATTTTTCAAATGTTACCATGTCTATAGGCAAAACTTCCTGTTGATTAAGATATAGATACATTTCATGTATCTTACTGTAGGATAGAGGAAGAAATACTCACAGGTACCCAACTTTCCATAAATTATGAAATATATCTCTGAAACAAGATCTTAATACAGGTAGCCCTCGGCTTACGACCTCAATTGAGCCCAAGCTTTCTGCTGCTAAGTGAGACTTTGTTAAGTGGATTTTGCCTCATTTTATGACTTTTCTTGCCACAGTTATTAAGTGAATCACCGTAGTTGTTCAGTTAGTAACACAGTTTTTAAGTGAATCTGGCTTCCCTATTGACTTTGCATGTCAGAAGGTTGCACATGACCCATGGTGATGCTTCAGTGGTCATAAGTGTGAAAAATGGTCATAAGTCACTCTTTTCAGGGCCGTTATAACTTCAAACAATCACTAAATGAACTGTTGTACATTGAGGACTACCTGTTTAGGATATTTGAATATGTCAATATTTCCATGCTTGAATGGGAAACAAAGTTTATCAATAGGCAACACTGTCAACATTAACAAAATATATAAAGAAAAGAGGTGGATGATTCAGAATTTGATAATAGGTGCTTGTTACTTTGCTTGCCTTAAAGATTTAAATTTACCTCAAAGAGGACTTGAAATGGGTCATTCCATTTCAGAAAAAACTTGACATCTCTTCTGTATCTTTGTTACTTAAATAAAGGCTTAAAAATTTCTCATTTCTGATCTTTTAGGATTCTCCCCAGCTTATGCATAATGTAATTACTAATAAGAGTCAGAATCCAAATGCTTATGTGTGATGTATCTTTCATTTCTTCCAAGATTGTTTTAATTGGATTCAACAATGCCATGAGCATTTTCTCACACATCAATTGCTATATTTCCAGTTTATTAATTCACAGGTGCAAAAAGAGGGTCCTTCGCTGTGGGTTTGGTTTTTTTTTAAGGGTATTGGCCTTTAAAACACAGGTCTGCCCTGTCATTCCTGATCTGGCTCAATTCTGCATTGGCATTTCTAAGGAAAGAAATTGATCAGAATTCTCCCCCCCCCTCCAAAGTGTGCAGAGTTTCATGCTTATTTTTTCTGTTAGAAGAATAAGAGGACAAGTTGTCGATCATCTGTTGCTCCAAAACCTTTGCCCTCCTTTCTCATTGTCTAGCTGGATGTACTAAAAACAGAATATTGTCTGACAGGGAACAAAGCTGTCATTAACAAAAGCTTTATAATTGCCAAGTGGTAAAGGTCAGTGCTCCACTGCCTGTGTTTGTGTGTTTTGGGGGCATAAAAGAGCCACTTCAGAAGTCCCAAGTGGAAAATAAAAATGTTATTCTCATCTTTTCATAGGTCAACATGGCAAAGGAGGAATTTAACAGTTGCTCTGAAGATGTTGATAGATTAAACCAAATGTGCAAAAATCTTCAGTCTCAAGTGAACAAAATGAAGAGTTTTGAGGAGCCCCCATTTGAGAATGAGGCTAATGCTATAGTGGACCGATGGCTGGATGTATGTTATATAAGCTAACTATAAGGATGTTCCAGATTATTGTTCATTGTAATAATTAATTTTGACTTCCAAGTATTATTCAAAGTAAATGAAATTAAATATAGCATGATGAGAAACCCAAAAGGAGGGAAATTTGAGTTATAATTGGAGCATGCTTAAAACAAAGTGGGACTCAAAGAAATGCAAATTCTTGTTGGAGATAATTCTCAAAGATGTAAACAAACAATCAATATTGTCTTGTGCTGTTTATATTGCTTAGCGCTCCCAGGAGTTTTTTCATGAGCGCAGATCTTAAGCATGTGTTACTTCAATGCTTTAAAAAGCCAGAGAATGATATTGACTGCCTAATGAATATGCTCAGGCGGTTCCTAACTAAAACCAGTTAGAACACATTATTGGGAGAAGATTCCATCTAATAAACCAAGCCACCTTGCCAAACCTGTCTCTAGAGTCTGGAGAGCTATTGTGATCTTTGATATGATAATTGTTAAAACCATATTTGGCAAGAAACTGGCTGTATCCCATGGGAACATTGCATTACTTCCCTCCCCTTATTTCTTTATGTGTCTAGCTTCATTTTACCTTGCCTCTCTCTTCATGTTCTTGCTTGATTAGAAAGCTTTATGTTCCGTTTCTTTCTCTTTTTTTGGAAAACATAATTCCCTCTTCCAGATCAATGAGCGGACTGAAAGCTATTGTGAAAACATGGAAAGAGCTCTGGCTTTATGGGACAGGCTTCTTAACATATCCAGTTTGATTGATGAATGGTCAGATACAGTTCAGAAGAACTTAGAAGATGGGAACGTGACTGAAAAGGAATTGGAAGAATTGGAGGTATGGTTCATGGGGATTATTTGTCATTCTGTAAGTGTGGGCAACTTTTTCTAAACTAGATGGAAGAACGGGACAATGCCCTCAAGGTGTGACTCAAGATATAAAGTTCTGTTTTTTTCTTCCTCCTTGTTTTCTCTTCCATAGTGCCATCCTTTCTGCTATTTTTTTTCCATTTGCTTATTGATCACCACAAACACTGCCTCCGGGATGATTCATTCATTCATTCATTCATTCATTCATTCATTCATTCATTCATTCATTCATTCATTCATTTATTATTTGTTAAATTTATAGGCCGCCCAATCCCGGAGGATATATACATCCCACTTGGCTTTCTTCTCTGTGCTTGAATGCAATGATAAGATTCATTCATAAAATTCCTTGCATTTCTTTATGAGATGCAGATATGAAAAAGATATGTTTGAAAAGCTATTTTTATCATGAAAAGGGAACTTTAATTCAAAATGATAGTAGGTGTTAACAACAAAATTTAACACGAGGTCTTCAAAACCCTTACCATTCTTATATTAAGATGCAGCCTGTTCTAAAAAGGAATAGGAATCCAGTGCAAATAATTTGTCTGTCATGAGAAAGTTCTTTTATTTTCAGTCAAATCATTCCCTCATATTGCTCATTACCTACATTAGTGATGGTAGATCTGTGGTGGTAACTCTGTGACAGTTCAAATAACAGTCTTTCTCCATCGTACCTGAAGATGGCAGAAATTGATCTCAGAGCCTTTTGATATGCGAAGTGTGAAATCTATCACTGCAAAAAGCTTGAGACCAATAAATGAAGATTATATTAATATATGGAAACCCTGCTACATTATGTAACCAGATAAATATTACCAATATTATTTTGGCTTCCTTGCTACATGTACTTAAAGGCTTCCTTCAAAGCCTTTAACTACATGTAGCAAGGCCACAATCAGGGATTTTGAAAACTGTAGCCATCTAAAAGCCTTTACTTTGTCTATTTATTAGAACAGTACAAAAATCATGCAAAACATCATGGAAATATCATCACCACAAATATCTCAAAGTGCCTATCAACCACTCTAGTCCAAGCCAGGTTTTAAGGACTTATTTGAATAGGGTCAGAGTGTGGGGCCACACAAGTATGACCAAACTATGAGGGACTATCCTCAGAGCCTTATTATACAAATAACAATATTTGTCAAGTTCTCTTCAGTCATTGCTTTACCTGTAATTCTTCAAAAATGCCAGGTGGGTATGTTTATAAAGTTGTCCAACTCAACACTGGGTGGTGTACAAAATAAAACCAAAAGTACTTAAAAACAAAAGCAAATTAATGGAAGGGGGACACATACTTTAATAGAAACACTGAACATCACTTGGGTATATCCTGGCCTGTCCCTGAGTCAGAGGAATAAACCCCAGGTTTTCAGAGATGATTTAAAGATTCAAAAGGTCAGGGCAGCCTAAATCTCCAGGGAGATGTTATTCCAAAGAGCAGATGCCATGCGAAAAATACCTTCTAGTTCTTATCAAATTACATTGCTTAATGGAGTGTTTCTCAACCTCAGCAACTTTAGCTGGGCTCTATGGATTTTACAGAAGAGGCAGAAAAGATGGGAAAGAGGCAATCGCTCTGGTATTCAGGCTGTGTGCCATGAAGGGCTTCCTAGGAGGTAATCATCAGTGATAGTCAGTCTAGTTTAGAGGTGTCAAACTCGATTTCATTGAGGACTGCATCAGGGGTGTGTTTGATCTTGGGAGGTCAGGCTGTGCACGTGGCCAGGGGTTGTGGCCAGCTCGACATAACTCGTTGAGGCTCCATTTTTGACCATGATGTCCTCATGCAGCTCTCTGCTGCTGAAAATGGTTTGTGTGGCCTCCCCGGGCCTCCATTTTAGCTGGCAGAGGGCTGCAGGAGGCTGTTGCAGCCAAAAACATAGCCAAGATATGCCTTGCATGGTCTCCCTGAACTCTGTTTCCAGGGCGGCCCCACGGACCAGATCTAAGCACCCCGCGGGCCGGATCTGACCCCGAGGCCTTGAGTTTGACACCCCTGGAGTAGTTTAATAGCAGAGGTGCTACATGGGAATCCTGAGTTGTATTCATAACTGTTTATGCCATTGTGTTTTGGCCCAGTTGTTGATTCCAGCAACCTTCAAGGGCAGCGGATTACGGTTTCATTCAATAATAACTGGTAAAATAAAATTTACAATTGGATAGTTTGTACATAACCTGTTTTCTGTATCTGCACAGGCTGATGTCCTATTCCAAGAAAAAAAGTTAGAGGAATTTGATACACAGGTGGATGAAATTCAGAATCTTCTTAACAGCAGTGAACCCCCACTTGAACTACAGGTGAAAGAGGAGGATTAACAAAAATTATGATTGTGGTTGATATAATAGGCCTGCCCATCTTTGTTGTCCCAAAAAGATTTTCTATGCCTTCGTATTGCCTTGCAATAATGAAAAAACAAATTGTAAAGATCTCTTTTGCCATCAGGTCTAGATGACTATAGGAATAAAACCTCAAGAAGGCCCCCTTCCTTGCTGTTTAACTTCAAGGGAGAAAGGTTGAGTTTGTCAGGAATTAGTTGGGCTCATATCTAGGTTAAAAATGCTCCCATCTAGTGGTTTTCTGGAGTTTTAAAGGTGAGAAGCAATAGCTCTAATTCAGCTATTTTCCCTTCCTAGTCATTTTAGTTGAGATTAAAAAGATTGGGACATAGGTTAATTCTGTGTACACTCTGAGAAACAGAAATCTCTGGAAACTTGCCTTGCCAGAAGTATCTGGCTATTACAATTAGGAAATTTTATGTGTGTTTGTGCCTCAGTATGTGCATCTGTCTGTGTATGTGTGGCATGCCTTCCTCGTAAGTATTTGAGTATCTGTGTAGAAGGGGAAATTTCTCATAATCCTCTCTTTGTTGCATATCAGGAGAGGGTATAACACTAATAAAGATGCTTAGCACGTAAATTAGACATTTTGGGGAGGGAGGATTGCAACAAAACATTTGCACAACATTTACAACATCCTTTGCAGGCCATGAAATAAAGGAAATATTTTCAGTGACGTTCTCAAAAAAATGCTAGAAATATTCTGCCTAAGTTATGGGGAAATTATTTTAACAAGTAGTGCATAGTAAAAAGGATTTCTCTGAAGAAAGAAATATTCTGTCCTGAATATATTGTTGCTTTTGGTAGTGACTGTTGACCTTAATAATTTGTGATGCTGTTGATCAACATCTCCTTTGAATGCTAGGTTATGATAGAACATGGTTGCAAACACATTGTTATGAAAACAAACTTGGCAATTTTAATTAGAGTTCCCTGAGGTGCTGGTGACCGACCCAGATTGGATATGGCAATATTATCCAATATTTGCCTTCATTCGTTAATTAGAACTGATTTTCTTGATTTAAGCCTAGCTCAGTGGCTAATAGGCTGAGCTTGTCGATCAGAAAGGTCGGCAGTTCGAATCCCTAGCGCCATGTAACCGAGTGAGCTCCAGTTACTTGTTGCAGCTTCTGCCAACCTAGCAGTTCAAAATCATGTAAAAACGCAAGTAGAAAAATAAGAACCACCTTTGGTGGGGAAGTAACAGCATCCCATGTGCCTTCAGCATTTAGTCATGCCAGCCACATGACCACGGAGACATCTTTGGACAGTGCTGGTTCTTTGGCTTTGAAATGGAAATGAGCACCACCCCCTAGAGTCAGGAACGATTAGCACACATGTGTGTGCAAGGGGAACCTCTGAAACAAAACTCACTAGATGATAAGATTTTGTGTTGGTGTGAAAGAAACTTACACTGTAATGTTATCATGTAGACATTGTAAGAGAAAAACAGAAAAAAAATTGAAAATGGAATGCCTTTTTCAGTAACAATTACTTTCAACCTTTTAAATAAAACTTGGGTATACCTAAAATATGAGATGTGTTTATCAATTCTTGCAAAAAAAGGAAATTGTAATTTAAACAGAAGGCAAATACGTATAGCAATATTTCTCTCCAATTTCTACTAAAATAATCAATGAGAACTCCTAATTTGGCATCTGTTTTGCTCCTTTTCAGGTTATTAAATCTTCTCTTTTGAACAAAATGGAGTTAATAAGAAAGCATTTACCAAATAAGTCAGAACCCACCAAAGTCAATGGCAGTACAACAGAGCTGAAAGGAGACCTTGATCTTGCCAAGACTCAAATTGGAATGACAGAATCTCTTCTGGAAGCTTTATCTCCATCTGATCCTTTGGAGATTTTTACAAAATTGGAGGTACTTCAAACATACACAACACCATAAAGAAGCATCTTTAGTTTGCTTGGCAATGCAAATGACATTCCACCTACAGATAATATTTTGAACTGCTCTTATAATGACATAGACGGAATTTCAATGGTTGGACTTAAAGTGGGATCGGAAAATTGGGAGCTCCATCAATCTCTTCCATATGAATTCCCCATATTCCATTGTCCTGCTACCTTTCATAGTAGTTAAAATTATGTCAATGTCAGTCTCAATCATGATTAATATGAACCAGGATTCAGAGACTGAGTTTGTACAAAATATTAAACCACAATGGATGGGCATATAAGTAAAAAACCCACAAGTGTACATAGGTTTAGCACAATCTAGTTATACGTGGGCAAGATTCACACATAAATGAGCCATAATGTGATTTTTGAATTATGTTACATCATAGTCAGATTGTTTTAACTTACTCAACAAGTTTTAGTTTGAAATCTTGCTTAGCAGTATATGTGAACATAATATAGGTTATTAACTAGCTTCAAAAACTTATTAAAAACAAAATCCAATCACATTTACTTATGTCAGCATTGTCAAATTATTACATTTGGACATTGGTAATTGTATATTTATATGATTGCTATTATTTATCACTGTACAGAGTTTTAAATTCAGCAGGGGAAGGAGTGATGCAGAGCCTGTAGGAATAAGCACATCATTATCTTTTGTCATATCTTTAAATCAAATGTGTCAGACATTGAGGAAAGAAAGACCATTAACTCCATTTGATAGAAATGATTGAAATTGAAATTGAGATTGAAACTAAAGTTTAGTGGTTGCAGTGAAAGTAAAGCTAGAACTGAATATTCCCATGCAAAGGTTTTACTCCCCCCCCCCCGGCCTTCCTTTGCCTTCTCCCTCTTGATCAATAGGATGTCTTTTGGGGTGGCTTGGATGTTTGGCACTTCTCACTACAGTTTCCCATTCAGTTCCTAGGCCAGGTGTCCTTAGAGGCTGATTCATTCCGGTTCTCTTGCAATTTATGGCTGACTGGTTCATTCCCGCTTCCTGGTAATTTGTGGCAGGATGCCATTTTTTTCCCTGGGCTTTGTATGATCCCAGGAAAAGATGCAACTTCTTTAAAAAGGTGCTAACAAATGTCATTTGAGCATTCTTAATGTTCCTGATTTCCTTGATTTTCTAGGACCTAGCTTACCAAAATTATTTCCAGATGGGTTTTCTCTTATTGTGGAAATGATATTCCCTTTCTTATTTAGGAAATACATCAGAAGATTCTTCATCAAAAACAACACGTCAAATTGCTTCAGAAAGGGACAGGCTATCTGAACCCTGATGTTATTGAATTAAAGAAGCTGCTGACAAGTATCACTGACTTATTTAATTCAAAAAAACAAATATTTCAGGATCACTTTACAACTCTCTTGAACTGTGAGTGAAAAGTTATTTTTATTTTTCTTAAATTGCCAATTTCACGCAGTCCCTGTTTTCCTTAAAAGCAAATTTTAACTGAGGAAAATAGTCTGAATTTACAGTTGTTTTGTATAAAAGTGTTTTGAGCCACATAAAGGAACAGAATATAATACTTAAACTGTTTAGAAACATTCATGAAGTAATTACTTCAAATTTTTATATACTTACAATATACTTAGTGTAGTAAGTGGATAGTAATATAAACTTGTAATTTAATTTTAAAGATATAATTATGTGAGGGAAAACTGCCTCCTTTTTCAATTTGCTTTAAAATCTATACCTATGATTCTTTTTCAATGTTAAATAATTATTCAAGGATTTTAAATTGTTTTTCTGATTGATACTTACATTTTTAAAGGCTTTTCCTCCAAGGCCCAAGAGAATCCCAGCAATGACAGAGCTAATTGGTTTGATTCAAATAATGAAGCCCTCTGTCTCTTCATCCTACTAATCTTTTTTTTTCTTCAAAATTTAAACTGCATCTTCCTGCAGACCAGTGTAAGAATTTTGATGATTGGTTCAGCAATGTCCAGATCTCTCTGGAAGAGTGTTTTGGCTCCTTTGAAACAAAAGAGATGGTGGAAAAGAAAATTCATCAACTAATGGTAAGGCGTAAGACTGCAAATTGCGTTGACTGCTTTCCTTCAGGATTCTTCAAATTTTAAATCAATTAGCCATGTTTTTCTCACATTAAAACTGAGGGTGTGTTTTAGCTTCACATATTCTGTATTGTGTGTTCTTTTAGAATACGAAAGAGCAGAACTAGTTAAATAGATTAAAGCTGTGCTATGTAAATTTCAGAGGATGGTAGAGGACAGGAAGGCCTGGAGGAACGTTGTCCGTGGAGTCTCAATGGGTCAGACACGACTTTGCAGCTAACAACAACAGCAAATGTAAACTTAGTGTGGGGATGGTTCATAGCATTTCTTTCTTGGTAAATGTACCTTGGGGAGCACAGTGTTAACGCCTGGCTGCAAGATCTGGGCTACAAGATCTGAATAACCATAAATGGCAACAAAAATATCTAGAAAAATTGAATTCTTTGCTACTATCTTGAGTTATCCAGATATCCGGCCCTTATCCTGATAAGGCTATGGTTCTAGAAATATTTAACTGGGGCTGCATGCACAGGGGGCCTCATGCATGTTGTATTTTTGGGGTTTCAGGTCCACACGTACATTTTGGGTACTCAGTCTGGAAAAGGTTAGCCATCACTGTCTTAGGTTTTAGGTTCAAGATGTTAGTTGAGCCTAGTTTGTTGAGACTTCTGCTATTTGAGGAATTGATTATTTTTACTTATTATCTTTTATTGCATTTTCTATTGTTTTATATTTGATTAAGATGGGTGACAATAAATATTGACATAGCAAACCAACTACAAGTTTATTGACTAACAGAACAATGATTCGATCAAGAATAGAACCTTTGTACAGGTAGTCCTCGACTTACACACTAGAGCCCAACATTTCTATTCCTAAGTGAAACATTTGTTAAGTGAGTTTGCCTTATTTTGCAACTTTTCTTGCCACAGTTGTTAAGTGAACCGCTGCAGTTGCTAACTTGGTAGCATGGTTGCTAAGTGAATCCCCATTGACTTTGCTTGTCCGAAGGTTGCAAAAGTGATCACATGAACCCAGGGCACCGCAACCAACATAAATATGAGTCAGTTGCCAAGTGCCCAAATTTTGATCAGGTGATTATGGTATGCTGCAATTGTCATAAGTGTGAAAAATGGTCATATGTCACTTTTTTCACTTCTCTTGTAACTTTGAATGGTCACTAAACAAACTGTTGTAAGTTGAGGACTATCTGTACTAGAGATTGTAATTTTGCTTCCCCCCCCCACCCCTCTTTCTATCTTCAATGAAAAAGGAAGTACTCATTTCAGTCTTGAAGTGTATCAAGATTGGAATAGTAAATCATGAAACAGAGGGATAAATTTCTTCTGTGAAGGATTCTTTTTTTATCAGAAGCATAGAATACTCCAATCATTTCCGGTATATGTGTGTCCAGGGCAGTGTTACCTATTGGGAGGAGGGAAGATCAGAGTAATGAATCATTCACAGCCACATGAAAGCATTGTCTGTGAATGGATGCTTTGAGATAGAAGCCTTTGATTAATTGATTACTCACCATTACATATTAATGGTTTCTTTTGACTATGCCAAGAAAAATGTGAGTGAGAATTGAATTCTATTGAAAAATTGTGCATCAATGTTGAATGAAAAATCAGTTTTGTATGTGCTGATCTATTAATAATAGGTTATAATCTATTCAGAAATTGTCACTTATTGCAACAATCAAGGAGTGTGTTATGGATGGATGGATGGATGGATGGATGGATGGATGGATGGCTGGCTGGATGGATGGATAGCTAGACAGACAGATAGACAGACAGAGCAAACTATAAAACATATGAAACAATGACACCAGCGAAAAGATATTGCTGATCTTGGATAAATCTCTCATTATGAGTTTTTCCCCCCCAGAGTTTCCTAAATTTTGAAGACAAAGGCAGTGATATTGATGAGGTGAAGACTGTTCTGAACCAGGTGAAAAACTATTTGCCCAAACAAAATGTCCATCAGTTGAGTAACTGGGTGAGGGACCAAGAAGTGGAATTGCAAAGAGTAATTTCCAAATGTCAGGCACGAAAAATTGAGCTTCACTACTTTCTTCAAGAGTTTGCTAGGTAAGAAGCCAAAATGAACTAGGCTTGCCTCATCTCTATTGTGATACAAAATGTTTAGATGGACTTTAAATCTAGTCCCCACAAAATAATTTTTGAGATTGATGTATTCCTCCTCCTCCTCCTACAGTACTAAATAAGTAAATAAGTATTAATAGGTAAACTTGCTGTTCTAGACTCAAAATTAATTTACTGTATAGCATTAAGTGGTACTGTTCATGGGTTGTTGTTTTTTACAGCTTAACAGGATTCTCTTTTAAGTATTTATTCTATTTCTTTGAAGGCTTGAAAAGGACTTTAAGAGTCTGCAGAAGTGGCTAAGAACTCAAGAAGAAAAATGGCAACAAGTTCAAAAAGAGAAGACAGAACTTGAACATTTTTATCAAAATCTACTCAAAAAAAGGTATTTTGTCTTAGCTATAGCAAGTCATTTAACTCTGTTCTTCTCTTGAGAGCTAGTTTTAGTGAAATACTCATGTTTCTACTGAAAATGTTTGTGTCTAAAAATATATTTTCAAAGATTTGGTATTCACAATTGAACACAAAATTATGTATGTTTCCCCACATAGGCAAAAGAGTAAATATAATGATTCTGAGTTCTAGTTATCGATCTCTACCTATTTAAAAAATGACTATTGAATGCAGTTGGGAAAAAAGTTGGCATGGTTGCCTTATATGAAGGTTGATAATTGACCCAAGTTGCCCAGTTCTGACAACATTTAATGAATGATGATGTAGGTAAAGCCTGGGGAATAATGATGACAATTAAACTTCACATAATTGTTGTTTTTTTACAGGGAGCGGTTTGATTCTTTTGATTGCCGGGCAAATTATTTGAAAAACTCAGGATTTTTCATTGATGAAGCAGTTCTAGAATCTGCCCAGTTTGTCAGTAAATACAAGAGGTTGGTTAATCATGTACAGAAAACCCTTGGAGTTTCTGAGATGTATTGTGTAGAAAGAAAGCACTTTGAAGAACTTGTCAGGAACATGTTTTGCTGGGTGGAAATTCTAAAAAAGCCTGTCTTGGAGATGAGTTCTGAAGAATCTGAGATATCAGTGGAAGAAAGATTGCTCAAAATCCAGGTACTTGAAGTTCTACATTTTATTAATAAAACAACCACCCAATAATTCTTTGTTTAGTCCTTTCTCATTTCAAAAACCTTTTTAAACAATGCTTGACACTTTTCTTGAATTTTAGTCTTAACCGTTCCGTTCTCTGTTTGCAGCTACTATTTATTTATTTGTCTAAAAAACCCCTCAATATAACATTGAATACATAAGCCAGATGGAAAGTCTGGAGAAAGCAGCAGTCAGTTAATCAATTAAAATATTCCAGAAAAGATCGACCACTTATTCTAACTGAGACCTGGGATAGAGACAGGCTGTAAAAGTCTGCTTAAAAAAGACCAGGTGGAGGTGGGCATATGAATTTCAGATTGAATTGTGTTCTAGTAGGCTGCAGTAAGACAAAGAAGCCTACTTCCTTGTTTAATCGATGGAACCCACAGCATGCTAGGTATGTTAGAATCCATAGGACAGGTCAAACCCATGGATAAGAAGCCCTCAAATAATCAACGTGCGCAGTGGTTAAATGCAGCACTGCAGGCTACTTCAGCTGACTGCTAGTTCTGCAGCTCGGCTGTTCAAATCTCACCGGCTCAGGGTTGACTCAGCCTTCCATCCTTCCGAGGTGGGTAAAATGAGGACCCGGATTGTTGTTGGGGGCGATATGCCGACTCTGTAAACCGCTTAGAGAGGGCGGAAAGCCCTATGAAGCGGTATATAAGTCTAACTGCTATTGCTATATTTTATAGGTATAATTAGAATAATTCAAGGTATACCCAAAATCATGAATTGCATCCTGAAGCATATTAACAACTAGTTCAGCTACAAAGTAAAGTGTAACGTGAGCATATTTGGTGCATCAGATAAATTTGTACAAAGGCTGCCTTGGGCTTAGTTGCCACCAGCTCCTGCATGCCAGTCCTAAAAGGGAAGTACAATTATATTCAGGACCAAAGATGAATCCAAGCTCAGAGAATCAAAATAGCCACAGACACTCAGTCTTGTCAAGCTTGAGCCAAAGCCTGTTCTTCTCCATTAAAGGCCAAACATTTTCCAGACATTGACAGAGGATCTTGATGGTATCACCTGTCCAAGCCATAGTCAAAACGTGTAATTGGGTATCATCAGCATAGTAATAATACTGAATCTGAGACCAATGGATAACTTGTCCCTACATCTTATGGGACAGCATTTTTGTTCAATATCTATTTTCCTCTGAGAGCTTGTCTTGGCAACAGTGTCAGTTAGTGGTCTTTCCCACATTTAGGACCCCTTATTCTGTCAGTTTTTCATTATGCTCAGTCCATGTTTTAGAACCCTTATCTTTTACTAGCACAAATTAAATTAGTGAAATAGAAAAACAGTATTTTGGCAGTTCAGTATCAAAGCTGTAGAAGATGAACAGGGCAAGCACAATGGCGGGGTTGAACATGTCATCAGTAAGGAGTCATTGAGTCCTGCCAAGAGCCCCAAGTTGAGTCCCTTGTGAATTCTGTTGACGCTTATCTGGCACCAATTTGGCTTGACTGTTAGTCGATCAAATTCTTTTGTATAGGTAGCATGTAATAAAAAGTGCTTTGAATTCAGCCCTTGTTCCTAATTACTAGTACCTGACAAAAGTACTTTGTAAATTTAATACACTCATTTTATTTATTTGACATTTCTTTGTATCCCACCATTATTATTTTTACAAATAATTCAAGGCAGCAGACATATCCTACTTATCTTCCATTCCAATTCTCTCCAATATTAGCAATGTCTTTCAATATTTAGAGAATTAACAATAGAACTGGAAACACTTTATTAACTTTCATTGTGTGAGATTTAATTAGAATGACAATTAATTAATTTTTTTTAAAGGGTTGTTTCTCTTGATAATTTTACTATGTTATTTGGCCTGGGTGCTAGGTCAAAACACTGACTAAAATCAATTACCTTCATGTTATTTCTTACAATACAGGAGATTGCTTTGTTGAAAGAGGAGGGCAGTGCTAAATTGCAAACTATCATAGCTGTTGGAAAACATTTGAAATGCGACGATAAGAGCAAGAACTTAGCTCTTGAGCAGATAGTTTCTGATGTCCAAAAGAAGTGGGACTCCACTGTTCATCTGGTTATTGGCTGTCTGAGGTAAGTAGCCTAGATTACACCATGAAAATGTCTACTGAGTTGAAAATGTAGAAGAGTCATTCTATAATAATATCATCCAGTATAAAACTCCTCCAAAAACTGTCGACTCAGATAATATTGACGAAACTGAAGATTGGAAAACTGAAGATTTTTTCTGCAAGCTTATGACTAATCACTGTAGAAAAAAAAATTATAAATACACTTTTCTTTATTTATATTAAAATATAGGCCATTCCTTTACTGCATATGGGTTATTATTCAAGGCAAATAATGACAATTAAAATTTGAGAGTGGGCGGCATACAAAATAAATAAATAAATAAATAAATAAATAAATAAATAAATAAATAAATAAATAAATAAATAAATAAATAAAATTTAATTTTAAAAAGAACAAATTTAGTTACAAAAAGATTGGGTAAATAAGGCAGGGACTCCAGAAGTTGATGATTAAATATATTTTAAAGTTATAAGTATGATATATCTATTAATCTATTTAGCATTTTACCCTGTTCTTATGGCAAACATGAAAAAAGTTTGTCACTCTCTTTTCCTATATATTCGGCAGTCCGCTGTTAAACTGTTATCATTTTTTCCCTGTCATAGGGATCAGGAACAACTCCAGCATCAAATGGAACAAGTGAAGCAGACAGAAGATGCCATCAAAGTGTTGTTTTATGAAGTGGAGAAGCAGAAGCAAGGATTAAATGTTGATATTCATCCCAATTCACAGCAAGTGCAAAGTCAGTTAAACAATTATTCTGCACTTCTGAAAGAAATTGAAGGCCTAACACTTCTCTTCAATGAACTAACAAAGCAACGCAGTTCTTTGGAGACATGCACTAATAGCTTCAGTGCAGAATCATTGATGACTTTACAGCATCTCTACAAATGTCTTCTTTGCCGATTACAGGTTGGCATCTTAGCAGATTACTGGTTTGGAAGATCCAGAATGAAACACTATTAGTGTATATCTTGCAATATAAATGTTCATTAGACGTGGGATTAGATTTGTTTCAAACAAAGAGATAGGATAGGATGAAATGGGTCCTAGAGCATGCCGCTTCAATTACCAGCTGGGTAATTTATTTTAATTTATTTATTTATTTGTAAAAGTTTAATTAATTATTGAATTCATAAGGCTGCCTAACTCTAACACAGTGGTTCTGGGTAGCTATATAAAGTTGTTTATTAAATAAATATATATTTGTTTATTTCTATATGGGTCCAGGAAGATAATATGGTATTCCTATGGAGAAGTCTAATAGTCTGCAGTACATACTTTATTATATTGGACAACTATCTATGCATGTTGGTTTTAATCTTGAGTTTCTCCTTAAATCACAGCATGCAACGAAGCTCTTGGAAGGCTGTGTTGAGGGACACCAGCAGTGTGAAGAGTTGACTACACTTTTGATGACTTCTCTAGAGGAACTGCGGGAGCCTGTGGGTACAGAGCAAAATCAGGTCAGGAGGAATTTTGTTTCCAGTGAATTTGAAAATCAATGAACTTGAAAGAGTAACAATGCAATAATAATGATAATATATTAAACTTGTATGCCTCTGAATATCAGGACTTGGAATGATTCACAGATAATCAAGGAACTTAAAACCCATAAAACCTAAAGCACAATGAAGGGAGGGGGGTCTCACTCTCCCTTGTCAAAGACCTTAATGAAGAACTAAATTCAATGAAATTGAGGCAACAGTGTTTCCATCCCAGAATAAAAATGATGGTTGACAAAACAAGAAAGAGAAATATTGAAAATTAGAATTTTACGAACAGCAACTTTTTTATTTATGTCTGATTATTGGTGCAGAGTTTTTATCAATGTCAAATGAGATTGCTTTCAAGATTACCATATGAACAATTAAACTGAACAAGGCTAACATTCTTGCTATGTGCTCCACAGATGCTTTCTTATACAACTGAGTCATCTTACACAACTTACCTAGTAATCAGATAAGTCAGCTGAGAATCAAGTAACTAATTGATATTCCTTTTAAAGCAATTTAGTGTCAGCACTGCCTCATGTGACTCTGGTGGTGGGTTCTGGATCCCAGTGCAACTGGATGGTACGGTACGGTGCAACGGGGCCTGGCATCTCCCACATACATGCGCAAGCAGTGCGTGCATGTGTCCTTACCTCCGTGATGCCTCCGCAACGCTCCAGCTGCTCAGCGGAGCGTCATGCAGGCACCGTATGCTCCGTGCGCATGCGCAGAAGCTCCAAAGAGCTCAAATACAGACAAGGAGCTCTGGCGGGCGGGTAGGTCCTCCAGAGCACTGTACTGGAATGGTACCCAGTGCTCCCAGCAGGCACCAGTACGCCCGTACCGGGGCATACCACCTGCAACCCACCACTGAAACTCATTAATTTCATTGAACAAGGTAGATCTAAATGTGCATTCCCTTGGAAGTATGGTGCTTTTTCTTTTCTTTTTTGTCCTCAACATACGACCACAATTTAGCCCCAAATTTATGTTGCTAAGGAAGACAGATATTTGAGTTTTGCCCCAGTTTACGACCTTTCTTGGCAGTGCTATTAGGTGAATCACTGCAGTTGTTAAGTTAGTAACACGGTTGTTAAATGAATCTGGTTTCCCCATTGACTTTGCTTGTCAGAAGGTTGCAAAAGGGGAATCACATGATCCCAGGACAATACATGCCAGTTGTCAATTGTCCAAATGTTGATCGTGTGACACATCAGCACCAAGGAATACACCAGGGCACTTAGGGCAGTGAAAAGATCTTATATAGCCACCTTGGTTGCGTCCGCTGAGTCCCGCCCGGCCGCCCTGTTTAGGATAACCCGCTCCCTACTAAATAAGAAGGAAGTGGGGGAACCCTTGCAGGGCAGAGCTGAGGATTATGCCCAATTCTTATCGGACAAAATTGCTCGGTTTCGGTCA